GTGAATTTTTTTTTTCAGATTTTAGGATGAAATAATATGGGATAGTATTGTCTAACCAAAATGCCAAAGTATAGGATGTTAAAAATGTCATATTTGAGCATGAAAAAAAAATTTATATTTTAGTCCAAAAAAAAAACCGTCATTGTATACTATGACCAAAATTTCAGATTTTAGGGTGAAAAAAAAAAAATAGGTTGAAATAACATAGGATAGTATTGTCTGATCACAATGCCATGGTAAAGGATGTGTAAAATGTCAAATAGAAAACTATAATTAAAAATATTAAATTTCATTGTATAGTGTGTTAAAACTATTACTTTATAGTGTTATAAAAATATAATATTACTGTAAGTGTTAAAACTATTACTTCATAGTATAGTATGATAAAAATGTTTAAGTTAAGTATGTTTAAAACATATTTTAGTATGAAAAAATATTACAGTTAGGTATAAAATTATCATAGTATTGTTAGTTAAAATGTCATAGTATAGTATGATAATAATAAATAATTTTTGCAATTTTAATGAGGCTCCCGTCCGCTGCTTGTAGCGTCGGCCAGGACCCTAACAACAACAACAACAATAATAATAATAATAATAATAATTTCAGAAGAAAAAATAAAGTGGCCTCACACTGCGCTCTCTCGCCCACACAAATTAGAGTATGAAAAGCAAACAAGCCAATACAAATGAATGAGAAACCAACACCGCCCCAGGATTTACTGGCTGAATTAACCGTCATATTATATTTATGACAACACAATAGCATAGTTTAAATACCATGTTCTGCATTTAGAGTATTAAAATTGTTGTTAAAGTTCTCTTTACCTTTAATAAACTTCTTGTTACATCACCCACCGGGACAGTCCATCAACAGTCCTCCTCTTACATCACTACAAATGTTTATTACAGCACAAATAGTCTCGACCTTTGACCCCTGCTCTGTCCCCTTTCATTGATCTCATGGATATCATCATGTGACCGTCACTGTGTGTGACCGGTTTCTCCCCCGTTATCTTTGATCCTCCCCGCTTCCCCTAACACCGACGTACATTTCCAGGTCAAAGGTCACGGTTGGAGTCGCGAGGCTGTGTGTCTCATGTCCTAAAGCGCGTGTGCTGACTCTGAGCGTCTGCTTTCAAAACAGGATGGATGGTTAACAGGAAACACAGTAGCACACGGTGATGAGCGAGGATATCCCTGTCAGAGCAGCAGGGTGAAATTCAGTGACAACACCGCCACCTACAGTCACAACCAGGTACTACAACTTAATAATCAATCATATAAAGAAGACAACTTTTTATGGTTTATTTTCAGAGAATAATCCTAATAATGAAGAATAACAGTCCTTAAAACGAGCTTTGTTCTGAAATTATGCAGGAATCTGTCGACTTTCAGCAGGTTTCTGGTTTATGTCCAACACTAAATGAGCCCCGACACCAAATTACAGCTGAAATCTCTCAGCTGTGTTTTAGTCGGTGATCAGACTTTCTGTTCCTCCTCAAAACTATAAAAAAAAAACCTCCTGTTTACGCTCAGACAGGTTGTGAAATAACGATGAATAGATAAGAAATATGAGCGGCTGGTATTTGCTGTTGGAATAAGGAGTTGTTTTTTGTTTTGTTTTTTTGCTTTGAGGCTTTAAAAAATTGTGATTTCTTTGCACTTTTGTTTTGTTTTTTTTCCCAAACTGTAAATCAATTATTTCACGTTATCCCACTGCACAATACAACATGGAAATGACATCTATTTAACTTATTTTTTCGATGATAGGGTACAAATGTGGACGTCATTTCAACGTCTAAAAGAGGTCCAATAATGACGTCTAAATCTCCGATCCATTTTGCACGTCTAGATTTGTCCTTCAGATGGCGTCCAAATTCTAAACGTCAGAGTGGCGGGATATTTGACTTCACAGGCATGAATTATTTGACTAGTTCACCGTTCTTTCGGCATCGGATCGACCCAATACTGACTTGATCCGCACATCTCTTCAACGTCCGATGTTTGGCGGGATATTTGACTTCACAGGCATCGGAAGATTATCGTATGTCTTCTAAGATTATCCTGTGGTCTGCTGTGTATTAAGAGTGAATTCATCCCGATAATTGGGGAGATAATGTCCAAATATGAACGAAAACTCACTTAAGTTTGACGCTAACTTTAGCCTTGTTAAGCGGAGTACACACATAAAGATAATCAGGCTGTTTTTGTCCCGATTTTCCCCCTCCCGACCAAGAACGACCATCGGAAGATTATCGTACGTCTTCTAAGATTATCCTGTGGTCTGCTGTGTATTAAGAGTGAATTCATCCCGATAATTGGGTCCGAAACATGTCATGGCTGATAATTGTAAATATTAAACTTCAATATTTACGACCAAGAAGATTATCTCATGTCTTCTCAGCCGACGACTCCTGAATCATGACTCGAGTCGTGAATTTTCACGTGAAACGGAATGTAGCCAATCAAGAAGCGAGCTGACTGAGGAACAAGGAACCAAACCGAAACTTTGACTTCTGTCAAAAATACTCCCAAATCCGCCATCATTCCCTCCTCTTGTTTGTCCTCTTCCACGTTGCGTCTTGTGTTTCCCGGTTTTTGCTATGTTTCTTCTTCGTTTTTGTTAGATCCTGTTTTATCATGTCAGATTTCTGTCTTGGGGGACTAGGTTCTAGATCGTTGGTGGAACAGAATCGTTTTGTGTGTGCTGTGTTGAGATTATCGGAGCACACCACACAGAGTACGATCAAAACCGTTCGCTTTAAATGACCTAGGCCAAAATGTTTGGCATTCCAACATTTCCTCAACTTGATCTCAGGTTTCTCTTTATCTCCATGTCTCGCTCGTATTTCCCAGTAAGTGAAGTCCTCTGACATCAAATCACCCTGATAGACGGTGACTAAGAAATCAACCGTTCCTTATCTCATGAGGTCTTTACGCCTTTGATAATCTCCTGATAAATAAGGACTCTGAGACCTGCTCTGAGCTGACAGTCTTTAAGTTAATACCGCACTTTGAGCCATCGTCGTGAAGCCGTTTATCGAAAACTTACGGCTTTTGTTTGCAAAAAAACAGCGACAGTGCAAATCATGAAACTCTATTCCGATGCGGGGTGAATAAAGGTCAGGTCTGACTCTGGTCACGCTCAGTGGGTGTTTTTAAATGCCTGAGGACTTGGCTGAATGCTCGGTCACGTAGCAGCATGGAAAAGTCATCCAGAGCCCTCCATGCAGGTAGGTTTACTCCACATTTACGACCGCCCCAGGTGTGTTTTGTTTCTATATATATCCGTGTGCAACAATAACAGTCGGTTTCCGGACGAGTCAGGAGCCGGAGTAACCTGAGGAGGGTCACAGTGATTACCCGTACTCCTGTTTCTGTAATGAGAAGCTTGTAATCCTGCATTCTGACGGAGTCGTTGGCTCGGGTCATGGAGTCCAGCCACCGCTGAATGAGTCATGTGAAAACTTTGTGGTGTTTGATTTACAACTTCCCTTTTCCCCACTTAAAAACAACTCAGGTTGAATCATTTCCATTCTGTTTTGTGGAGCTGTGAAGTTGCATCACAGTCAGAAATTACTCTCCCGTATCGCTCTGATTGCGATCAAACACAAACTGTTAAATCAACATTATAAAAGATGATATTTGACAGTTCTATTAGTATTCAATGGAGTCACCCCCTACTGGCAATACTACTGCCAATTTTTCTTTTTTTTTTACGATTTTGTTTTTTTTTTTAACATTTTTTCATAAACAGTATATAACTTCAATAAGAACAATAGAACTACAAATTTCATCCAAACCAACCCTCCTCCGTGAACAAAACCCATAGGCCAACTCTTACCTACATCCCTAAAAACAATGGTAATATTGAAAATAATAATAATAATAATGATGATGATGATGATGATGATATATATAAATATAAGATTATAAATAATAATAATAAAAATACAATTATTTTGTAAAAAATTATAAATGTAAATAAAATAAAAAGTACAATAATAATAATAATAATAATAATAATAATAACGATAATAATAATATATAAGAAACATAAATGAGAATAAATAAATTGAAAATAATAAGTATGTATAAAAGAAAATATAAATGTAAATTAATGAATTGATCATTATAATTATAATAATAATAAAATAAAATAATAATAATAATTATTGATAATAATTATTATTATAATAATAAAAGAAAAGAAAATATAAATGTAAATGAATAAAGGATAAATCATTATTATTATTATTATTAATAATAATAATAATAATAATAATAATAATAATAATAATAATAATAATAATAAAATCTTCATAATTAAAAATGAAATAATAATGATATAAAAGAAAATATAAATGTAAATAAAGGATAAATTATTAATAATAATAATGATTATTATTACTTTTTTTATTATAAATTAACCACTTAGTTAAATAATTAAGTATATAAAATAAAAAAATACAGCAAAATACACACAGCAAAGTTCAAGATGAAAAATGAAATGAAAAAGCGCAGCTACTTCTGCAGATGTGCTTAAATAAATAAATTGACATAATAATAATATCAGATACGTTTTGAAGTCATTCCAACATTTGTCAAAAGATAGGGTTTCTTTTTCATATCGAACATAATTTTTTTCAGAGGCCATGTATGAAGCAACTTCTTTAAGACACATTGAGGCAGTAGGTGGGATTTCACTTTTCCACAATATAGTGATGCATTTATTTCCTGCAATTAGGGATAGCTGAATAAAACGTTTTTTCCTTATCTTATCAGTGGGTAAGACAGACAAATCATCTCACAAAATCAATCTTGGTGATACCGCCAACTCTTGATACCATCGCATTGGCACCAAATTCGAACAGGAGGTCAAACTGAGATAAAAGCTGAATGTACTTGACTCAAAGTCACATGGTAGTTAGAAACAAGACTACAAAGATGCAGCTAAGTGCAGACATACGCTTCCTGTCGGCCGCCATGTTTTCAACGATAACTCCAATCTGGACCACCTAATGTCTTCACGCCTCACACTAACACATGAACCCATATTGATAATATTCGGTCTGCTTATATGAAATGTTGCCGTCGTTCCTCCCATCATCTCTCGGTGTCTCTGTTTGTTTCCCAGAGGACTTTGAGAAAACGTAGAGGAAATGCCAACGCCAATGGAGGAAGCAAGATTCCAGCGATGATACCGAAGAGTCTTTCTTTCTCAGTCTCCCTCTCTTTCTCTTCTCTAAACAGGACGTTCACATCCACACCCATCATCACCATCATCAGCTCCATCATCACTCTCTGACAGCTTCCACCCTCCTCAAAACATCCTCCTCTCTTACCCTGTGAGTTCACGTCAAACAACCAAAGACTTCGTGTTTAAAGAGGGTGTTGTGTTAAGGCTCAGTCAGGTCTCTGTTGTTTGGTGTTGGGGTTTCTTGAAGCGTTTGTTTTCGACCGTACCTTGTTCAAATTTAACGTCTTATTTGTGTCAAATCCTTCTTGACCGCTTTCTAAAAGCTGCCCCAGAAGAAAAGATCTTTGAGTCGTCTGCAAAGATGATGAGTTTGAGAGAATCAGAACCTCTTTTTATATGAAATTTACATGCAAAATAAACACTTCAGGTCCTAAGATTGACCCCTGCGGGACACCACAAGTAATATCTCAGAGTCCATCTGAATGAAGAGCTACTCCACTAGCTTTCCATCTTTTTTTTGGTCATATAATCCATTTTGATATAACTAGAGAAGGAAGCGGTCGGCAACATTCATCTCTAGAGGTAATTTTAAGCTGGAATATCCCTTTAATACTGACTTAGTGTGAATAAATGTCACAAACCTGATGCATTGTGGGATTTCTGAGCTACTTCTGCTCACTGCACCTTTGTTTACTGGAGGAATGGGACGCCCTTGTGCGCTGATAACAAGCACATGACCGCCAACGACAAACACTCAAGTATGATCAAGTCTGCAAAACAGGACAGCCCTAAAGCCGAACTCAAGTGATGCTCCTCTGAAGCAGACTGCGACCTTTGACCTCTTATCTGCTGCCTGAAAGGAACCTTCACATTTCCTCTGTTGTTGCACTGAAGCAGATTTGTCCAGTTTGTAATGAAAGATGCAATTCAAGATGACAACCGTGACCTGACACAAAGCGACTGATTCACCGCCATGAGGTCACAAAGTGAGATGTCACTAAATCCTGATTGGATAAGGATCTAAATCTACGCTAACGTCTTTTACGGACATTCCTGTGCCGAGTTTTTACACTTCGATACGTCTGTTTAAACGTTATTACAGGAGGAATGTGTGTCCAATCAAGCCGCAGACCGAGCGTTTCAGGGAAAAACAAACTGATAAACCTTCTGATTATTGTAGAGGAAAAAGTGGGATTACATAAATTAGTTTGAGAAAATCACATCTGAAAACCTGGAGTATGTCTTGTTTGCAGACTAACAAAGTCATTAATCAGCCGCAGGCTTGTTTGGCCTCTTTTTTTACATCCCCCTCAAGACAAACAAGAGAAATCTACTGTTTCAGGAGGCTAAATGACGTAACCTCCATCTGCTTTTGTGTCCGTACGGCTCTGGAGATGTACTGTAACACGACAGCGCACAGGGATATGTTTTTACTTCTGTCAGACGGAATTTAGACCTTCAAGGTTCATACAAGGCACTCGCTCTTTACCTCCTTTCATCCAGATGCTTTTCCCGTTTTTGTTTTATTCATTGGAGCGGTGATAAAAAACAGAGGACAGATCACAGAGGCGACATGTTTTGTACGTACAAGATCATTTTACCAGTTTTTGGACCAAGATCCACTATCAAAGTCACCGATCTGCCAAGATCTACCATTCCAGGCTCAGTTGATGTTTTGGTATTTGGTGCAAACACAACAAACAGAGTAGTACACCAGAGACAAACCTGATGAAAGCAGTTGTGTAAGTTGGAAAAGCAGGAATAAATGCATGTCTCTACCTCTGTGGGCCTCTGGCAATGGGACACGCACTCCACAAACTCTTCTTTCACAGCTTTGTCGTCTGTCAAAGACGTCTTGTTTTCAGCAAGACCGTGACCAATGTGATAAGACTCGACTTGGACTTGAGTCCCATTTTTGACTTGCTTAATGAAATCAAGAAATGACTTGGACTCGCTTGGGACTTGTTTGCTAAAGACTTGACTTGACTTGAGCCCAGTGACTTGGAAAAGTCAAGTCTTTTCAAGTCACTTAATACCTTACAGTCCAAATAGTCAGGAATTACGGCCGTTGGTAACACCGTGTTGTGTTGCCAAGTCTGCTTGTTTTTGGCTTGTTTCTGGAGGTCTGTTTCCTTATTTCTCTCACGAAACTTGGCAACACTGTCTCAAACTCTAGCCTCCCTCATAACGACAACACCGGGAGGACTGAACATAAATCGCTCGCTAGTATTGCCCGCCTGTTTCCACGTGTTTCCTTGTGTCTCTCTTTTGTTTTGGAACAGTGAATTAGAGTATCAGTTTAATGTTTAATTGTATTTGAGTCTTCCTTATTTTTGTGCTCATTGTCCAAGTTTCCAATTATTGAAGTTTATCTGATTATTTTTTGTATGACATGTAAAATAGTTTGGTTAAAGCTGCACTATGTAACTTCACACAAACAAGAACCCTTGTTTAATAATAAATGCAAATAGTGGAAAATGCTCATGATTGATGTAAATCTTTACATAAAACAAATGGTTTATGGCTTTGATATGACTTGTTTTTGACTTGAAAGAAACGGTAAGGACTTGGTTGGAACTCGACGCAAAATTCCTAGGACTTGGTTGGGACTTGAAACAAAAAGTTCGGGACTTGGACTTGACTTGGGACTTGTCTGTGTTGACTTGGACTTGACTCGAGAATTGAGAGCAAAGGACTTGGACTTGACTTGAGACTTGTCTGTGTTGACTTGGACTTGACTCGAGACTTGAGAGCAAAGGACTCGGACTTGACTTGGGACTTGTCTGTGTTGACTTGGACTTGACTCGAGACTTGAGAGCAAAGGACTTGGACTTGACTTAGGACTTGTCTGTGTTGACTTGGACTTGACTCGAGAGCAAAGGACTTGGACTTGCCTCGGACTTGAGAGCAAAGACTTGAGACTCGACTTGGACTTGCAACATAAGGGACTTTCCCCCACCTCTGAGACCCGGTGAAAACTGTCTCACTAGGCCTTCAATTCACACACAAAAACATAACCCTTTATTTCTAGTAATTTATCATCAACACTAATTGATTGATTGATAGCTACTTCTACCACTCTACCTCAACAAACGTTACACCATCGCTGAATGTGACTGATATACTCTCATGCTCTCATTGGCCGTCATTGGATAACAAAAGTCGGGAGATAAAAGGAAGCGTTGCCGTGGTGACAGCTCTGACCCGGCCAACCTGGGTCGTGACCATCCATCATTGGATGAAAGCCATGTTGGGATGTTGGCACCGCGCTGGAGCGGGCGGGGATTCCTCCATGGGGAAAAGAGAGGAAATGTGGAAAATGCTAACCAGGACTTTGATCATGGAGGTCGGCTGTCTCTGACATCCTCCTCACTGACACAGTGATGTAACAACCGACTTATGATACCTTAAACTTATCGATTTAACCGCTAATGACTCATCTTTCTGCTGAAACAGCTGAGTGACCCCGATTTAAAAGTCAGTTTCCCAAACGACCGGAGATTAATGATGCGACTCCTCCTCCCTCGGCCTGAATACACTCCTGGAAAGTTTCGCTCTTATTCCCTCCACGTCTCTGACAAGTTTCCCAAAGCTTGTGTAACATCTCTAAGTCACATTAAGACGAGGATTTTTCAGAGATAACATCCAACTGGAAATAACTGAGGCGGGAACAAATCTGCTTAAACCAAGAAAAGTGCTCACAGCCGAGTGTTTTCTTGGATTTAAAACCACAGAGTTCATTAATCTCTGATTAAAACTTTATTTCCACTCAAACATACTGGAGCTTTTTCACAAAACTGATCAGAGATGGGTAAACTGTTGTAAATACCACTAAAACCTTATTTATCTGAACAATTTGAAATCTAAAACTCATATTTGATTCACCTCGACAGATTCTCTCACTCTCCTCAGGTTGTGTTAGGGTGACCATACGTCCTCTTTTACCCAGACTTGTCCTCTTTTTGTGGGGCTGTCCAGTCTTGTCCAGGGGCGTCTATAAAATCCTTCTTGTGTGGAAGTTTTGAGTTTGTGTCGCCTGGACTTACTGAGTCAGAAGCGTGTTAAAAACACTCGATCTGACCCGAAAAACTCTCAAAATTAACTATGCACAACTACAGATTCAGAATATGGTCACCCTAGGTTGTATTTATGCATGATATTTGATTTCCATTACCAATATCTATACTGATACATACCCACCGATGTGTGCTGCAAATATAGAAAAGCAGTGATATTACACCTTGAGTAATTTCAATATAATCAGCGCTGCTAATGCTAATTAACAACCAAGATGACTGTCGCTAATATCTGAATGTTGGTCGGCATGAAACCTTTAACATTCAACAGACTGGGAGTCATTAATGCATCCGGCTAATTGCTACCAAATCCGACCATGCCGGTTGAATGTTAACGGGTGATGGAAGCGGCACTGAGTGCGGCCTGTAAAACTTTTGAAAAAATTCAAACAAGTTAAGAAAATGTTCCGCCTCGTGGAAATTTGTGGTGCTAGCTAATAGCATGCCGTTTGAGTTTTCTATCTGCGCTCCAAACTTGACTTAAATTGGGTTGACCACTTTGGTGGAGAACTTCAAGTATGAAATGGCGAAGAAATACCTTACGGCTAAATTCCGCAGGATCTGGAGCGGTTGCGCTCTCAAACACGCAAGCATTATAATGAATGTGAGTGATTCCAGACAATCCGTCCACCATCCGGCTTTGCTGTGGATCCACTCCGGTGGTCGAATCAGATACGCAAGGCTTCTATTTTTGCCGGACACCGCGGCACAACGCATCAATTCAGTGCAGAGCAGCATGAGCGCCAGTGGAAGTTGTATGCGGCTACAGAGTAACCGGTTAATTAAAATACTATCAAGTCAATACATTGAACTGTTCTTCACAAGATAATGGGAGGGGCCACGGTTATGGGATGTGGGTGTTTATATACACCGCCGATCTCATGGTGAATCACGTGAGATCTTGTCCAGTTTTGCCAAAAATATCGGTAATACCGCAAGTGCTTCTCCTCGGATTGCTGCAACGGATTGGATCCAGTGGGCACTGTATGCTTGTGTATTTGATCCACTGGCCGTTCCGGAGTGGAGCAGCGGAGATCGGGTTTGCATGCAGTGGAATTCCCGGGTTGGAAGTGCACAAACATCACCATGAATGGTCAAAGACATGATCACCAAGTATTAGCTCTCCTACAAGGTCTCAACACAGATGGTTACTGCTTCACTGGTCATCAACTGCACATACCAGGCCTTGCTCAAGGGCACCTCGACCTTCCCCTTGCATGCCTGCTGACTGACACTTATGTAACATTGTGGTTAAACGTCTCAGTGAGTGTCAAAGTCATCCCGCTGTGTGAGCCCAGGTCTAAAACGATCCTCCAGCCTCAGAAGTCCGTAAATCAGCCCCACATTGTCATTTGTGGTCGACCGGCAGAAGATCCATCACGGAATCTAAACGCTGACACAGACATTCAACACGGCCAGGACCGACACAGACGTGTGGAGAGGAGGATAGATACACGCGCAGAGGGACAGAATAACTTATCCTCTCGGTTTTCCACAAATGAGCTCAGAAGATTCAGAAGCAGTAGAGCCGCGCCAAGAGCAACAACATCCCTACAGTTTAGGGACTCGAGGCCTGAGTCACATCACACGAAATGAGCGAAAAAGATAAAGCGAAGAAAAGGAAGCCGTCTCTCTCTCACGTATTCCAGTGTTTTCTTTTCCGTTACCCACCTCAGATTTGCTGAACGCCGTGAGATTAGAAGTGAGGATGCTGAGGTTTTCCTGTCGTAACTCTTCCTCTCAGGACGACGGGGACATTTTCACATGAATGCATGAGGAACACGCACACACGAGTCATGCAGACACTTTTTAAAACATAGAAATGTGCAGATGTGTCATGCACACCAACACACAGATGTAATCACTCATTTCCAAGAGGCGGAGGTTGATCGGAGTGTCGTCAGATACTGATTAACAAACTCCTCGACCACATCCCCGACTCTGTGAAACGGCTCTTATCGCTCAGGATCTCCTTTACAGCGGTAACGTCAGATTTAACAGACTTAACGCTCTAAACATAGAGAGGGGGCAGGTTGTTGATTAACACCATGAAAGGACAGGTAATGCCGTTTGAAGCGGACACTCACGTAATGATTACTAAGTTGATATTAGTCTTGTTGTTTGATCTCTACTTTGCTAAAGCCACATGCAAACTTTCATGAGTTGTTGAGCATTTCAAAATTGCAAAAAATAATTATCAGACCAGTCATCCAAGGAATCCCAAGTAGGTCCTCGCACCTTCTCTGTGCTCAGAAATTAACATTTAGGAACAACACTAGATGGTAAGAACTAGCTAAAGTGGCAGAAACTGTTTTTGAGAACTTAACGTCAAGCTTGTAGTTTAATTTTAAAGTTTGAGCCATGTTCCATCTGTTTACATGGAGGAGACAGATTTTCAGGACCTATAAGTCCTTCAGCCACCGGCGGAGCTCTAAATGTTTTTTTTATGATTCTATGATTACAATAAAAGCTTAAAACTTTGAATTCTAAAGGATTCAAAAGAGTTTTTGAGCATGTCGAAATTGCAAAAAAAAGAAAAATTATCAGAACAGTCATCAGAGGAATCCCAATTAGGTCCTCGCACCTTCTCTATGCTCAGAAATTAACATTTAGAAACAACACTAGATGGTAAGAACTAGCTAAAGTGGCAGAAACTGTTTTTGAGAACTTAACGTCAAGCTTGTAGTTTCATTTTGAAGTTTGAGCCATGTCCCATTTGTTTACATGGTGGAGGCAGATTTTCAGGACCCTTACCTCCTTCAGCCACCGAGGGGAGCTCTAAATGTTTTTTTTTTTAATGATTCTATGATTTACAATGAAAGCCAATGACTGCTTATACGTCTATGTGTCTGTCTTTATAGAGACAACTCGTCAATGGCGAGATTGCGCGTGAATCTGCGGGTTCTTGTGAGTTCTGGCGATTCCCGCAGTCCAAAATCCACCCCAAAATTCGCCTCACAAACGTATCCGGTAGGAATTGGCAGACAGTGAAAATCGCCGCCGTTCCGTGACGGGGCCGTTCCGGAAATTGGGTGTTAGTGCGTCTTAAAGACTCACAGTGACTCTGATTTAATGACTTTCTCTCTATCCTGAATTGAACCTGCGGCTGGCGTTACCCGCTAAATGATGATTATACAACTGATGGGAGATTACACACAGTTTAGGAGGACACACCCGCACACACACACAAACACACACACACGGACGAATGCATTAACCACACACGCCCAGGAACCTTGAGGGCATCACTAGAGTGCAGAGCAGACCGGAGTGATTGGGGTAGAAAGGTTAATTAAATCCTATTTCTGTGTCAGTCGAGGGTGAAACCATAAAAAACTGTGTGGAGGTTTGAAAATGAAAATGTGATCGATTAGATTATACAACGCAACACTAATCTGTTGATCAATACTATTGATAGAGCGGCTGTACGACTGTTTCTGCAGCCATCTGGATTTCAAGCATGGACATTTTGGCAGGGTCGCCTTTTGATCCGACCCAAATGACCCTTTCAAAATAAAAGCACAGAAGTTTGCAGACGAAACAAAATCAGCCCAGCAGACACAACAACAACAAAGACGACGAGCCAAAAGAATGATTCACAAAATTTTAGCGTGAATCCAGATGTTACAAATTTCCTTATTTCGAATTTCTTCTGCAGACTTTTCCAAAACGCAGCCGCCAACATCACAAAAACACTATTTCCTGCACCTTCAAGGTATTTAGGAAGGTAAATATTCTCCGCGCTCTCTCTTGAGAAGACCAGAAAACTTCATAAGAAGAAAGCTTTGAAGCATTTTGAGGATTTCTGCCAAACTTTTAACAGAATAAATGGATCCAGTCCTACCTTTGAGCCCGTGACTCCCATTGTTGTAAGTCCTCTTTACACTTCTCTACTGAGTCCTCTGGAAACCCGAGACAAACCGGAGGTGACACCAGAGACGAGGACCCGCGGTGGGATCCGATCCCCGCAAATATGCCGTCACGGCCTGGGGTCGTAAACAAATCCACCATCCCTGAGCGAGACACACCCTCGTGTTTCTACTCAGCCCCCCACCACCACCATCCTTCCCCATCATCATCCAAGTATCTGCAGCTCCACCTTACCCAGTTTGTGACTCCTCTCTCTGACATGTGGGTTCATTATTAAGGCGTCAACAAACAACCTCACCACAAACATATTTCTTCACACAAACATCAGATTTCTTCGTTTATATTCATACAAACTCTAACAAATACACCAAAAATGTAAGACTTTGAAGGCAAAGGTGTTTTTATTTGCTAGGTTGAGATTTTGAACTCAACCTAGCAAATAAAAACACAAAAAATCTAACCCTACGACACCACCAACCACCGCCTCAGGGGAGCAGGTCAAAGCCACGGCGCCCGGTCCAGAAATAGTTTGAACTTAATGGGATTTGGCCACTTCACAGAGACAAATAAAGTCCCAGACTCTGATCCACAAATCAAGAAGACAAGCAGGAAATATGATTGAGCCACACAAACTGCACGTCCCCATGGCAGAGGCAGCAGCAAAGAGAGAGGGAGAGGGAGAAAGAGGAAGAGAGAGAGGTTCGGCGTGGAGAGAAATATGAAATGACAGATGGGCAGATGCAGAAATGACGGTTTTAGAGGAAAGTGATGCAGCTGTCTGGTAATGTCTGACAGAGAGGAAAAAATAAAGAGAAAGCTTCAAATTTGTTCTATTTAAGATTTAATCTGACTTTGTGGAGTATTATGGTGCCACAGGCGGGTTTCAGTCATCGTGTCCTTAAGGAGTCTTAGGGTCAGGGTTATATATGTGTACATCAGGGAATTTTGAGCACTGATGTAACCCTAACACTAGCCCATACACTTACCCTAACCCGCATTTTGAGACCTAATGTAACCCTTACCCCAATTCTGGCCCTAGCCCTAGCCCTAACCCAAACCCTTACCCTACCCTAGCCCAAGCTCTAACATGAGCCCTAGCCCTTACCCTAACCCCAACTCTAACCCTAGACCTAATCTTAACCCCAACTCTAACCCTAACCCCAACTCTAATCCTCGCCCTTACCCTAACCCTTAGCCTAACCCTAACTTTCTCCCTAACCCTAACCCTTACCCTAGCCCTAGCTCTAACCTTTACCCTAACCCAAACTCTAACCCGAGCCCTAACCTTTACCCTAACCCCAAACCAGAAGTGGAAGCAACCAGCCGATTAATTTAAAGTTAAATCAACCTGAACTTTTTTGTCCCTTACGCCTAAATGCATAAAATGGGTTTTAATTTATCTTATTTGTTTGACATACAATACACTGAATATTAGAGTTAATTAGGCCATGTTCCGATCTGTTTGACACCCTTTAAATCCTCCTAAATTAGACATTCAAGTCAAAATTCTGGACTCCCTGTTGGGATTGAACCAAAACAATGTAAAACAGATTTTGTAAGCCTAGTTATGACGCATATATCCTCGTGACTTCCATGGAATTTATAAAATACCTGTTTTTGTTTTTTTTACCAGGGCTGATGGGTATATGACTTTTGCAGAGAATACTTCACTTGTTTGTTTTACTCTGGTTTACTATTTTCCACAAAGCTTTCACCACCTCTTTCTCTATGTTTGCCTAAATACAAGATTAGTCTTAAATGTCCTCTAATCTGGGATCAAAACCTATCCCTGTTTCGCAGGGATCCTGGGTACTTTTTCCACCTTTGCCTTTGGCGATGTCCCTTTTCTTCTTTTCCATTCTGTGTGTCTGCATAATGGGTTTTTAAACTCATTTCCATGGGTTTGGCTGACAGATAGGCTCAGAGCCAAAAACAACCAACTGGATATTTTGGTTTTCTGCTATTGCAAGATCAGTATTTTTAAACCACAACTGTCATGTTGTCCTGGAAATTGGGCATGAAATGTTCACCAATTCTTGGCAATGTTATCTCTAATAGATAAACAAAGGGTCAAGAGAAGTTTGAAAGGAGTTAGAAATGAATGTTTTGGGAATTAGTCCAACTACAAGACAGTTCTCTCAGTCTAAATTCTACTAAACTACTTTAACAAAAGCGTAAAAAAGTGTTTTAGAGGGTTCAAAACAAGTAAACTATATAATGTAAATGACATTTGATGGGCTTAAATCAATTTCTGTTGAGTCATACCGGTGCAAGCAAAAGTATTGAAACTCTCAAACATACACAGATTTACCCGATTAACTGTCCATACAAGAAGTGATTAATCTTTTCTTTGTTGACAGGAATCATGTCTTTAAGTGTGAGGGCAAAGTTTATGAATAGCTGACTAGAAGAAAGAAGTATGTCGTCATACAGCGAAGTTTAATGACAGGCAATAAAAACTAGAACAGAACGAAAGTCCCCACCTGACTGATAAACGTGCACAGTCGGAGTCGAGCTTTGATACTAGGTTCACAAACGTTTGCAGATCACATAAGAAGTGATTTCACTTTTTCAATTTTATACAGTTTGAGGATAGTTCATCGAATTTAATTACTTTGGTGTTTTTAATCCAGATGGTTTTAGTCAAAGTCCCCACTTTATATGATAAACAAGTTCCCTCCCATTTTGGAGTTTTATGCATTTAGTGCTGTAACTTTGCCAAGTTTAATGAAGCTTTATCTTTCGCTATTAGGGCAAAGTTTGATAACAATAATAATAAAACTGGACAAAACCTGGCGGCGGTAAAAAAAGGAAAAAAAAAAAGTCCCCACTTTGTATGATAAACAAGTACACTCCCATTTTGGAGTTTTATGCATTTCGTGCCGTAACTTTGTTTAATGAAGTTTAATGAAGCTTTGTCTTTTACTATTAGGGCAAAGTTTGACAACAGAAATAACAAAATTGTATGAAACCTGATGGCGTTTAAATAAATAAATAAGTCCCCACTTTATATGATAAACAAGTACAATCTAATTTTATCCAGTGAGCACAAAGTTATGTCATTTTTCTTATCATTCTTTTGGTTGTTGTTGTCTCTGTAATAATATCTTAAAAGTTGCATAATGTTGATAAACAACTTCCTTCTTTATACATACATGTGCACTTTCATCTATACTTACGCTAATGTGCTTTTTGTGTATTTATTATTCCTCGTCTTTGTTTTATTCTTGTTTTTTCTTTATGTTTACAACTCTGTCAAAACACTGAATAAAAATACAAAGTTGTGATAAACAAGTTTGACAAAATCCACATTTACAGAAAACTTAAACAAGAACGGTCTGTTTCAAAAAGATTATTTTTGATGTTACAGGAACTAAATTTGTACAAAGTTTTGAAATTCCAGTTATAACAAAGTTTGACAAATTCTATTAGAGTTGAATAACATACTTGATTTCACTGATAAACAATCACAGCTCATTTTACTCACTGAGTTCAAAGTTATGCAACTTTTCTGATTCTACAAAATTTTGTCTTTCGATGTAACAACAATTTTCTTATTTAGTTTACTGGAGTTATAAATAAGTAGAATAAAATCCATCTGAGACGTATAAAAAAGACCCCACTTCATTAAAAAGTAGAGTCTCTTTTCTGTAAGATTAATACCAGGTGATATAACTTTTTGAATTTGCAATAATGGAGTCATTTTGATCGTCGAGAGTTTCATAACAGCTGAGATAATTGCGTTTAATGAAAGTCTTCTTTTGATCGATTAAAGTGCGTAATCAGAGACCGTTAAGTTATTAGTATCATGCTGTTCTTTGATGATTGATTTTATATCTTGACCCTCTTATCTTGAGCTTTTTTATGACTTTATTATTATCACACGCTAGATCTCCTTCACAAAAACAACGAATTTTTGCAGAAACACGTTGATATTTCCAGTCGGTTTTCCCATTTCTGAGCATAACACTCAAAAAAATCAGAGTCTGTCAGCAAAGTTTACACAGAAAGAGGAATGAAGATCAGGGGGTCGCATGGCAACACAAACCAGTAAACAAATACACACTCACACACATGCAGGCAAACACACACTGACGCATGCATTACTTACTACATAGAAGAAATGCATGTCTGATCGCTCAGGTTGGTCCTCTACGTGCACGGCTGGAGATGGAGGAGCTGCTGTGGGTACGAGCGATCCATCCAGGAGGAGCATCAGTCAGAGGAGAGTGTGTGTGTGAGTGTGTGTGTCTTCCTCACAGGTACTCCAATCAATCAGTCTTCTTCTCCTTCTCTTTTCGAATGTTGCTGCTTTCTCTCCTTCTCTCTTGCACTTGACGTTACTCCTCCCCTCTACCTCCCTCCCTCCCTCCTCCCCTCCTCTCTCCTCCCCTCTTCCTTCTCCCCACATGACTTCAGTCCCTCATTCCTCCCATTTTCGCTGTTTTGGTTCCACTTCCTCACATTTTCCCCTTTCGGTGCGTTTTATTTTTCCTGTTTCTCGGCATTAAAATCATGTTTCCTTCTTCCTTCTCTCCTCCTCTTCTCTCCTTTATTGATTCCTCCTTCCTCTTTTAATTTGATAACCATCTTTTAATTTGAAAAATTAGCAGGAAGTGTTTATTAGTCATCTCACTCTGTCTGTCACTGTGTTGATTACAGATTGCTGTCAGTGTTTCCTGTGCTCTTTGTGTGTGTGTGTGTGTGTGTGTGTGTGTGTGTGTGTGTGTGTGTGTGTGTGTGTGTGTGTGTGTGTCACAGATAACATGGCGTGCTCTCTCCTGTCAGAAACAGGAAGAGTGGCGCTTGGTAGTTTGCCCCTGATGAGTGGACCTTCCCCCTGCTGTTTGTAAGCATGTGTATTACTACTGGTTTTAGTGACAATATGGGGACATTAATCTGATTACGATCATCTATGTGGGGACGTTATTTTGCGTCTGAAATTCTGAGTTAAGGTGTGAAACAATCAGTTATGTAAAGTTTCCGGGAAATGAATGTAGGCCAATGTGGTGTCCTCTAAAGTGATGAAAATGTGCGTATATGTGTGTGTTTGTATTTGTGTTTGAGGCAGTGTTGTATCAAAACGAGATGTAATTAAATTCAAGCAATTCATTATGAAGCTGTTCCAGTAATCACTCTGCTGAATTAGTTTACACACACACACACACACACACTTTTAAAGCCATTGCTCACAGTTCACGACCTTTTACTAATACCTATATACCTATATGCAAACATGCCTGACTCTATTTACATTACATTATCTATATTAGAAGCTCACAGATATGTAATTAATTAATCATTGTGATGGGTCAGCGTACATTTGTTTTAATCTGTTGGCTCAGTGAAGATTTAATTTAATCTAGAATATTATATTTCTATCTTCACCTATGTCCCTACTGATGCCACACTCTTTCCTCACAAGAGAAAGTAAGCAGATGTTGTTTGTCTCTGCTGACCTCTAGTGGTGAAAATTTTGAGTGCTCTTAATGTTGAAGGCATACAACCTGGTCTGAACACATTACATTGTATAAAGCAAACATTTTAAAATTGCCACCAAAACTGTTTTTATGACTGACATTTTAATCTCAACGTTTCATTACAAAAGAAAATTTTTGGATTTGCAAAAGAGTAAGTAGAAAAGTATATACAATTATGAACACTTATAGAAGTCTAAATTACTCATACATTCAGGAATTGTCACTTTATAAAAGATAAAATTGAACGTTCAAAGAATTTATATTGTATTTAATAGTTACTCAATTTTGAAGTAAACCAAATTTTTTAAAAATTTTGTATTTTGGTTGATAAGCGTCTGTCATGAAAACGGTTTTGGAGGCAATTTTAAAATGTTTGTATTATTGGATGAAATGTTGTGTTCATTGTTAAATAAGTTCCTTATCACGCAAATTGAACAAATAAGAACCAATTTCTGACATATTTTTGAGTTCAACCAAAATGAAAGATAAACATGAACAATTGTCAAATGTGAATTATAAATCCATGTTATTCAATCCATTTTATTTACTATCTTCTTCACTGTTTTTGCTTAACGAATGGAAAAATTATGTTATGCAGTTTTACCTAAGGTTTTCTTAAATTTGTTCATTTTTTTTCTCTGTGGCTTATTTCTTTACACTTTTATGTTTTTTGGAATTTTAAAAAATGTTGAAAATTCATTCTTTTTGTTAAGTGTCTTTTTCCAGCACTTTACATACAGCCTTAAAATACCACTTGTACTTTTTTTAAACAGATGTTTTATCAAATTCAATTATTTTAAATTACAAAACAACTAATCTCCACTGAACTCAAAGTTACTTTTGTTATTTCTATATTAAGATTTTCTAATTTGTATTTCTTGAACCTTTCATAATATGACGCACTGTTGCCTATGAACCACTAGATGGCTTTAGTGCTTAAAGGAAAATAGAGGATGAAGGATGAAGACTGTGTGCACTTGTGCATGCCTGTTATTATGGTTTTGTGTGTGCGCAAGTGTGTGTGAGCAAGTGTGTGTGCGCAAGTGTGTGTGTGTGTGTGTGTGTGTAGGAAGGAAGCAATTAACTGAGAGGATGTCATTACAGAGCTGGAAGATGAAACACTTTGCAGAACAAGCTTGGTTAGACCACCTGAATACACACACACACACACACACACACACACACACACACACACACACACACACACTAAAACAAACACATTTGGAGGGTACGAGACATTTCTATCATTGTGAGGACCCTAATGGCTCAATTTTACATCCCAGCGCTCTAACACTAACTGTTTTCCAAATGTCCTCATGAATTGTGAGTTACTAAATGGTCCTCACAAAGACAGCAGTTCCAGCACACACTTCGAGCCCAGAGAGGACTTGGACAGACAATTACGTGAGTTTGTTTTTGCAGAGACTCTGTGCGTCATGGAGGTGAGCACAGCTGATTATGAAAACAAGTTCTCGCCCAGAGCGACATCAGTATGCACAATCCGAACAGAAACAACTGCAGACCCTCTCCAGGCTGAGAAAACGCCATCAAACCGCTGCTTCTAAATAAAAAACATGCGCAGAACTGATCCGGTTTCACACTATACAGGATAATTTCACCCACGTATCCTCCAAAGCTGTTTTTTCATTTTTGTAAATATGATTTACAGCATATTGAAGGAGTTATTTTGTGCTGACACATTCGGGTGCATCTCTCTTTTGATCCTGTTGGAGGTAGATGAGAGTGTGTGTGCCGTTTCATTTCCGAGGTCGAGCCTCAGCTGTAGGGTTCCCGTTTGTTAATCAAAATTAGAAAAGGATAAACACGATTGGAACAGCTGAGGCCTCGTGTCCGGGAGGTAAGGAGCCAAACAGTTCTAGACCAGCAAGGAAGAGACGTCAAGGTTCAGTTTTCTAAGAAATAAAAATAAAACCTGATTCATGTGCTAATGCCGGAGCTTATTCCTTCATTAACCAACTTCTACCGGTGAACATGCTTGGTAATTTGAGACAAAATGTCCTAAAAAGGTAAACAAAGATTGAACTTGAGTGAACGTCTCTGTGAAGAGGAAAAACAAACAATTAACTCAAGGGTTGTTGCGTCTCCGGGGAACCTCATTAATACAGATGCAGAGCGTAACCTTGAAGATGAGCGGAGAGCAGGAACACCAAAAAGGAAAAGCAGACAGACGAAACATTCAGTTTTTTAAGCAAGAAAAATAATTTATTTATAATGATATAATAATAATAATTTCATAACATTGGCATTGCGTAGCTGCAGAGGGCAGCGTTTGTGTGTGGCGCCGCCTCGCAGCTACAATTCACCATTGGATGGGGCAGGGGAACAGGTTATTTAATACATACACGGAATACTCCTTTAAATATGTCTTTTTCAATGGGGAATAACAAAAATAGAATAATTCCAATAACTCTGTCATTCTCTCTCTATGTGTGTCTCTCTAATTATCATCTCTGCGTCTTTAAAAGCTGCCTGTAAAGCCCTCAAAGCGGGGTTAAAATCGAGTTAACAGGGTTTGTTTTACTTTGCTTGATCTGGGAGGGGGATGGGATTGACATTAAGAGGACATCAGTTTTTAGTTTCTACTTAAAAGTACCCTCTTAAAGGTCCACAAAGTGTAAACCCCACACCCATGGCGCTCTTCAAACAAATGCAAGATACTCTTTGGCCCAAATCTGCAACCATGATCCCTCCTTCACCGTCTTCCACTCTCTTGTAAAGCAAAACGACCAGAAAAAAAAAAACAAGAAATGCAAAGACACTGATTACCGGGTCAGGGAAAGGTACCTCAAAAGTTGATACAACTCTTTGAGGGCCTAGTTATTTAGATCCAACACAACCAAAAGAGCCAACTGAGAAATTCAACAGTCTTGTTTGTTGATTGTTTTAGTACAAGGTGCAAAAGGTTAACCAGGAGACAGCCAATCGATTGCAAGTAGATTGGCAGTCATGCTTTTGTCATTTGATCGATTCTTGCATGGCGCTTGTACACTTGGATGTAGTTCTGTTGAATCGCTTAATCGCACCGTGACTGTAGCTTAATTGAAATGGTGCATGTAGATTTACTGACTTCGTAGGTTTTCAAACAGCTAACCCCCAATTTCAACCGCATCCGGAACGGCTACAAAAAGGCTGTATCCGTCCGATCGTAGCTGATCGTAACCATTCAAGTTAATGTGTCAATTTCCATCGGCTTCTTTCCGTTCCGCTGCGGATCGCCGGACTCCGCAGGCGATCGCAAGAGTTCTATTTTTACCGGATGCCAGAGCATGCCGTATAAATTCAGCACAGATTAGTCCGTGCTTGAAAGGAAGTCGGCAACGGGGGGACTAACAAGTGAAAGGTTTTTAGACAGCATTTCACCACGATGACACCATGGATGAGAAGATACTGATTCTAGAAATCTAGAAGTAGATTTCCTCTTCTGGAAGGACACAATCTACTGCTTATATGGTTAGCCTATGTGGCTACAGACAACTCTTTATCATGCGATTGCACATAAACCCATGGGTTCTTGAGAGTTCTCGCGATTCCAGCTGTCCAGATCCGGTAGGAATTGGCGGATGGCAAAAATCACCGCCATTCCGGATCGGAGCCGTTCCGGATGCAGTGAAAATTGGGGGTAAGAGCGAAGTCTGTGGATTACAACAAGCATAACATTGCCTCAATTTTAGTTTGCAAAGTTGCTGAGATTGCTATAAGCCCATTCAGCGGTTTTCGTTTCCACTGGGACTGACAAAAAATTAAATCAAATTACCTAAAAGGCTCTGTACCTCCTTGTTTTACCATGCAGCGGAAGATTACAAGAGAGTGAGAGAGGGAAAAGCTTTTAACATGATGACTCCTCTGAGTCTCATAACAGCCGAGAAGAGGAGAGAAAGGTAAAGATGATGGAATATGTGATGGTAATCCCCACATTCAGCGGAGTTAAACCTTTGATTCACACCCTCATCTTTACGCCTTACCCTCCTCACCTTCCCCCAAAGAAGGGATAACGGATTAAATATTCAACATACATCTTATTCTCTATTTGCAAACTTTATAGAAATCTCTATCTCATTTTAAAAGGTTCTCATTTCTCTCGGTTGTACAAACATTTCTTGGAGGCAAAGTGGCTCTTCAAGGCCTCTTCAAGGGAGCTACTTCAAGGTATTAGATTCTCCTGTCCTTTAAATGTAAAGGACTGAGGGCTAATTATTCTCATTTTCAGTCATTTTTTGTTGTTGAAAGAAGTTAAAGTAGTGAGAATATGGCGACAAATCGTCCCAGCTGGTTCTTTAGCAGTTCCAGAGCCTGACCGATGGGATTATCTCTGCTTTTTAAGCAACTTTGCCTCAGAAATGTCTGTAAGATCGCAACAAAATCCCATAATTCTCTCTTCAATATTAAGTGGTTATATTCTATGTAGGGCTCTGCACCCTTTTCACTGGTGTACCCATATGTTTCTTTGTTTGTACCTCTACTTTTGGCTGCTCTGTTGAGGAAATCTGCCATCTGTCAACACTGGAACACGTTGAACAACAGTGTTGTTTGCTGTTCGTGAAAACATGCTGAAGGTGGCACATTTCCCTGATACATCTCCTTTTTTTAGATGCACACTCTACACACCCTGTCATTTTTTTTTAACAGGAAACTGTTCCCGTCGTGTTTGTGCAGAAACAACACGTCCTCTTTCTCCTGTTACTGTACTTGTTTTACTCTTCTCTGAATTTTGGACAAAATCTGAGTACATTTCAAATACCGATGAAGGTCTTAAGAGTCCTTCTCATCTAATCGCCCTTTCTGGTTCTGCTTGTCTGGATTTTCACTGTTTTCACAAGGAGGCCATTTCCCTTGACGTCACCATCAGAGTGGGAATTCCAAATGGTTTGAGGACTCATGACTATTGGAGACCTGAAAGTTCTTCTCATTTCATCACTCCACAAGTGATCAGACGGTGGGAACACTTTCCATAGACTGTATAGCACATGGATGTAGTCTCGAGGATGTAACCCATTGGTAATTGAAGTTGAATTTTGAAGCCCAACAATGATGGTCCCCATACAGGGACTTTTGGTCAACATGGCAAGAGACAGGGGTGCCATTGACCTAGCAGTTTAAATGTGCCCGACATACCCAGGTTGTGTCTCATGCTGGTGATCTAGTTTGATCCCAGCTTGATACCGCCTGACCCCCAATTTCCAACGCATCCGGAACGGCTATGGAAAGGCCGTATCCGCTGATCGTAGCTGATGCCGCAGCATGATTTCCAGATTTTCATTATCACATGATTGCATGTGAATCCATGGGTTCTTGTGAGTTCTCACTATTCCTGTTGTCTGTAATCCGCCACGAAATTCGCCCCACAAACGGATCCAGTATGAATTGATAGACAGGGATCAGAGCTGTTCCAGATGTGGTGGAAATTGGGGGTTACTCTCCTTTTTTCTGCTATATCCACTGCCCTGTCCCCCCCATAAAGGCACAAAAATTAGGAAACCAAGCCTAGACAAAGAGGTGGATCTTGTTTACCCTTCTTTCTATTGGCTACAACGTTCACCCCAGTCAGTCAAGTTAACCACAAATGTGTCAAATCAAAATGAGCAAAACTCATAACCTTGATATCTTCAAAATGAATAGCTACAAGAAAAATAAGACTTCGTAACGGGCTTTCTGGCCAATACAGGCTGTAAACAAATGTATATTCTGTTCATAGAGACTCCTGGGTGTTTCAAACCAGCCTCAAGTGGACACATGGGGAACTGCAGCTTTTAGCACTTGAGCATTAGCTCTATTTTACAACACCAGAGGTTGCCACTTGACTACAACTCCCTTGCTAATGTCAGGATTTGCTATGAAGTGGCCAAATGCACATTTGCTTTTGTCCAAACCAACAGTGCCGAATGTGATACCAAATATATATCCTAGACCTGAGATAAAACCAAACACCCAACAACTAAAAAAACGCGCTACCCAATATGCAATCAAACGCTGATCAATCTCGGGGCGGGGAATTGTTAAGATGGGGCAGGTTACGCACATTTATAGGATTTACAATCAGGAACCAAGGGGCAGCCATGAGTATCAATAGATGGTCCCAATTGGTCCCATGAGGAAATTCTCAATTTTACAGTTGAAATAAATATAACTACAGTAATTTACAGCTGTTTGCTGAGCTCCACCTCTTTGCCTGTGACAGGGTTTGGTTGAGTCATGGTGATGACGGACAACCGTTGAGCTTCAAAATGCCTCTCCTGAAACCAACATTGAGACTATGTCCATGTTTTAAGCATTATGGGTCCCATCCTGATAGTGGCATCACAAAAAATGGTGGCTTTGTGAATATGATTGGTGTATGCAGATTTGGGCGACAGATTTGGTCACTTGAGGCAGACACCAGTGGTCACACAAATCCTCCATACGTCTCATTAAAATGCTCCCTTTTACGTATTTACTGTTGCTTTGGCCAGTTTTTGCAGAAGCTTGGGTTTCTTTGTGTGTATGTGTTTGTGTGTGTGTGTGTTCGGCATCACCAAGGCAGCTGAAACTCAAAAATTATAAATGGAATTTAAAAAACACAGTAGGCGCTGCAGCTGTGCGCCCGAAATTCAGTATACAAGGCAAACAAACACAGAGTTTTATAGGTTTATCTTTTTTCATTCACTAAATATTTAAAACAAGCTTCACTTGACTAGTCATCATAGATGGTGATAACTTATGCATCTTTAAAATCTTCATCTTTTTTTTTGTCAGGATGATTGAATACCTGAAGGACTGAGAGATGTGTGTGAAGGAGTTTTGTTCCCTCTCCTGTTATGTGAGGTGTCTCCTTTTCTGTCCACCAGAGGGAGCTCTAACTCAATAGCACCGAGGGATAGTCTCACAACTGGGAGCCAGGAGATGAAAGGTTCCTTCCTCTCTTCACACAGTCCATCCATGCAGGGGATAAGTCAGGTGGTACCGCTGAACCAGTGGTAATCCAAATTCTCAGACAGTAATCCTGAACCGAGGGTCGGTCACAGGTCAGAGACCACAGGGTGTTTTTGTTCACAGTCCAAAAGTCTAGGTCCTTAATCCAAAACCACATTCAAACCCTGCCTTTTTCCGTGTTTGTGCACAGATCCTATCCATTCATCCATCCATGTCGAATTCAGAGTACATGGATACTCCAATGCAAGTTAAAGAAAAGGTATAAAAACTCAGAGAGCAAGAAAGAGAGAAGGCATAAGATAAGCGCTGATATAACAATGTTTTTTGCACTCTCAAACTAAGCACAGCATCAATTTTCTTAACAGTCATTCATTGACATTCATCCGGTGTCGTGCAGCCTGCCGAGCTCAGATGCATAGACTGAATGCGGAGAGGTGGAGAGGAGGAGGAAGAGAAAGGAGGTGGTTTGTCAAAAAATGGGGAAAGGCAGAGCAGGAAGGCAGAGAATGCGAGGAGAGGAGAAGAGAGGCGATGCTACGTGCGAAAATGGAGAGAGGTTTGCGGTAAAGTGTGCTACTGTGTGTGCCAGGAGAGAGGATACAGGAGAGAAAATGAGAGATGATGCTGAATGCAGAGAGACAGATGGAGAGTGTGCTCCAGCAGTGATGAAAAGAGGAGGAGAGGAAGCGGAGGAGAGGAGGAGGAGGAGGAGGAGAGGGCAGATTGCCGCTCCCCTCTGAGAAGAAGAGACAGAGCGTGAAAATGTGCAAGGAGGAGGGCAAAACAAACTGAATGTTCGGCCTTGTAATGTCACTCTGCGACACTGTCGCTGATCTCCTCATGGAGCAGAAGGGGACGAGAGTTCTTATGGAGCAAAAACCCCCACGTCCCAGAATTCCAAACTCTACAAACTCCCACATTCTGGAACTACAAAATCCTCTACCAGGCCTCTTTTTTGAGTTCTGAAATCTACTTGGTTCCAGAACCTTTGTGATTGTGGAGCTTCCTCTCTATTCCGGAACCCACATGGTTCCAGCCTACAACTTAGTCCAATTTGCATTCCGGAACCCTTGATTTGAACTCCCACCTGATTCCCAAACCTCCTTGCTGTCAGAATCCCCCTCCTGTTCCGGAATCCTCTTTGTTTTGTACCATGTGGGACTAGAAAGAATATCGTCATTCTAATCCTGACCCAAGAAATAACCCTAGAACACTTGATTTGAGAGGAGGAGCTGAGGGTAAAACTCCCAAAACCCGGCACTTCCTCAGACCCTGCCTACTCCACCTTTAACTTCAACCCCCTCCTTTATTCCGTGACCCTTGTGGTTCTGGAATCCCCTTTGGTGCTGAAATCCTCATGGTTCCTTAATACTAACCCCAACAATTGAATCTGTAGCCCTTAATTTAGACCCCCAACTTGAACCCTGAACCCTTTCAGTTATGGAATCCCTTTTGCGTCCTGTCCCAAGAAATGTTTTGGAACCCCTGACTTGAGGCCTCACTGAATTCCAGAACCCTTGTGGTTCAGGAATCCCTAATGTGATCAAGAATCACAGTGGTTCCATAATGTGGGGGTGTGGAGAGGCTTTGGTCGTTCGACTACTTTACCAAGAAAGGTGGGTATTACGGGGTTGAGAGTGTGGGATAATGATGGTAACACATGCTCACGCTAACACACACAAATATGTTCAAATCATAATACACACTCTTAGTGAGGACACGCACACAAAAATGCCTAACAAGTAAACCTGCACAAGTTTGTGCAGTCTCTCTTTCTTCTCTCTTTTTCCTCCTACATTGTTCTTGGCACTACCCTCTTTACACACAAACAGGCACACACGCACACAAACACACACGCACACACACACACACACACACACACACACACACACACACACACACACACACACACACACACACACACTGTTAGGTCCCCTCTGGTCTGTTTGTAGTTTTAACAGTCCTTTGGTCCCATCACCAGAGACCAAAATGAATAGAAACCCTGTTTAATAACCAGGCCTGCTTCATACTCTCCGTACAGAAACTCCACAGGCATGATTTCGCCCGCACAAACTCTCATGAAAACACACACACACACACACACACGCTTGTGTAGATAGGTCTGTTCTGCTTGTCTTCAAAGCACTTGTTCTTAGTCTTTGAGTGTGTGTGTGTGTGTCTGAGTGTGTGTTCTGTCTGTCATTGGGGCAGTTTGTTGTCCAAGCTGCTTGCCGCTCTGTACACTATATTTAGTCTTTGTATCCAATATTCCAAATGATAGATGTGTTACATTTATCTTTGTACATGATACATACACTACAATTTAACATATACAATATATGGCCATCTAGCATGTTTAGGAAAAAAAAAGTATATGAAAATCATCTAAACAAAGACTGAAAAAATATTGATTGATGAGTTTCTCCAAAAAAATGAAGCAACGCTGAGTCCCCACCATGTAAACAGCCGTCCTTGCCGAGGGAAAAGAAAAGTGCTTACGTTCTGAAATGTCACCCGTTTGCCGGGCGTCTCTGTGGAATGTTCTGTGAAAATCCACGTTCGTGTTCGCGGCATGAGCAACAAAATCCTTGACATGCCTCATCTTTGGTGGCAAAAAGCCCCCATGTGGTTTTTCTTTGATAATCCCACGTTTGTTCCCTCAAAACTGAAAGTGTTTGGTCTTCCGGGAATGTCAGTGCCGATGCCTGCTATGGTATGTCATTTCCAAAGAAAGAAGACACGAGGATGTCCAGGTTTGGGGCGTATTTGCATTCTCTGGTATCTCATCACATTTTATGATTGACCCTTCCATTCACGATGGTCTACATGTGTCATCACTGTAGCTCTACTGGTGGCGAATTTCGGCTGAATGGTAGACCTATCACTGGGAAACATCTTCATTTGGTCGCTGATCCTTGATGATATCCAATTTATTCATTGATTCATATGTTTTGGTCACCGTTGCCATCAGTGACTCTTGATGAGACTTGAAAATATATCCATTGTATATCCTTGTATTCCTGTCGACTCCATCAGTCGATCCGTCCGGCTTCCCCAGTTAGCATATCCCAAGTAATGAAAACATGGTGGGTGCTGTGTTGAAGCAAAGCCTCAAAGCCTCCATCTTTCAAAGGGATAGGTTTGACGGGGATCAATGGCGCTTCAACCATGGGAGGGACCATTTTGTCCAAAATTGTGCTCCAATTTGATTGGACGGCTCAAATGGTCAGCCAGTAGTTGGAGCGATCCGGTTGGACATGCTGGTCAGATTGCTTAAATCTGCAATGGATGGCACATTTCAGGATTTGTTGTTAGCTTTGTTAACACTGATTAACAGAACTGTTCATTGATCGTTGGGCTTGCCGTTCCCAGAATCCTCTCCTTCATTGGCTGTTGGCGTAGTGGTTGAAAACTCGGTCACCCTCCGTGCGAGAGGGTTTGTGCTTTTGAGAAGCTCCATGGCAGAGACTCTGGTTCCTCCGCTGGAAGACTTGCTGCCTTTCTTCTGAAGCAGTGCCATGAAGTTCTCATTGCGGGAGCTCGACCTTTGACTGCCGAGGGTAAGATTTCGTAGCTCGCTGCTACTGGTGCTGTGCTTCACTGGGGACACCAGGCTCTGGCGGCTGCCAAAGGAGTCCGACGGCTCCTTACGACCGAGAACCTTTCTTTTGGACCTGGGAAATGAGAGGAGAGGAATTTGAGCAACAATGGAGAACAGGGAGACATAAGAACAATGAGCATTGCTATAACTTGTGGCATTTCAAGCTCCACAAGTTCATCTTTGATTGACGTCCTTGCTGGAGAACACTGTGTTACTTCAGAGAGCACGCCAACCTTACTTGAACAAATTAAAACTGTCTCCTGTTCCTTCCCTCGCCATACCTTCTTTATCTGCCCATCCAGCTATTTTCAGCCCTGTGCTAGGTAACATCATGAACACTTGTTGCTTGGAGACTAGCTTTCTTGTGATCCTGAGCGTATGTGAGAGAGAGACATTCTGAAAGAAAGACTAAATAAGATCCAATAGTCATGCAGTCAGCCGTTATACATGTAGCCGTTGCTAGGAAACCTTCTGCTTCATCGGCCTCACACCTTTTCAACAAGTCAGTGTGTCTTTTGTCCCTATTTTCAGGTTATAATAAGCTAGCTGGCAAGCTCATTGTTGGCTAAAATCATATTTTTCCCCTGAGAATAAGATTGTTCCATTAAAACAGACACAACTTGTTCTGAGGGCATCAAAACCGAATGTTTGAAAGTTGAATTGTAGAGCTTCATGTGTGTTCAAACCTGTGAATAATAGTGAACAGGTCTTCAGTGGTGTGTGTTGCAGGTGTGCTGGCCAACAAGTCGTCGTCTGTTTCCTCCGAGATGTGAAGTACTGTCTTTTCATTGGCTGCAGAATCATCTGAACAACACAGAGAAACAATGACACATCAAAATACCGCACAGTTCCTCCAGATTGCATGTTGTCAAATTACAAGTTTGTCTCTTGCAGTTAAATGAAATATGACACAGCTTCATTCAAAGTCAGATAATGATCAGATAATAACGCTAAATGTCAGCTTCACCGTGAGAAACGGAGGGATTTGCTCTTTGTTTTGATTCAGTCCAATTTTAGAGCAGTAGGGCAAGATTTGCTTCAGATTCTGAGAAATCTCCCAAAACAGATTAATGAGGTCATGCATAAGTCACAGCAGGGAGGATTATAATCAACTGGAACAGCTTTGACAAGCTACCATTAAACCCATGCATGAAAATTACAACAAAAGGTTAGTACTGCAGTTTCTTTAAAACAAAACCGGGTTGAAAACAAATCTATGAACTATCATCCCTCAGAGAATAGTGCAGTTTAGTAGGGTGCCATTGAGTTTGCTCCTTGGTGGCCCTCATTCAGATTATGTATTCTCTAATTAATTTGAGAATACTCATTTCCCACCAAGACTGTGTTTATCTTCACAAATATGAAGGTTTGGAAAACTGAAAGGGGTATTCCGGCATGAAATTTATTTAGGGTCAAACACAACATAACACTGAGTTAGACACCCCCTCCAGAGATGAATGTTGCCGACCGCTTGCTTCTCTAGTTATACCAACCTCTAGTAAAGACCGCATGATAGCAATACAGAGCGGTCTAAGGAGCCATCAACAAACCTCAACCAAAACGCCACTCTATAGTCACAAATAATCCTCAGAACAGCACCTAACTTCATCAACAGGACATTTAGGGTCCCAGCCATAGTACTAGACACCAAACATCTTTTCAACTTTGCCTAATTTCTTTAACAAAGAGACTAAACACAACTCACCTACTCTCTTCCAGCAGCCGCTTGTTTGTAGCTAGACCTTGGGCCAGTCCATTGCGGACTACAGCAGGGTGACGCAGCTCAAGGAAGAACATTTATGATCATTTCTTAATTATTTTAAGGAAATGAGCTGTGTCTCGCTACAAACAAGCGGCTGCTGGATGAGAGTGGGTGAGTTGTGTTTAGTCTCTTTGCTAAAGAAATTATGCAAAGTTAAAAAGATGTTTGGTGGAGAGTGCTGTGGCTGTGACCCTATATGTCCTGTTGATGAAGTTAGGTGCTGTTTTGAGCATTATTTGTGGCTATAGAGTGGTGTTTTGGTTGAGGTTTGTTTATGGCTCCTCAGACTGCTCTGTATTGCTATCCTGCAGTCGTTACTAAAGTTTGTGTTACAAGAGAAGCAAGCGGTCGGCAACATTCATCTCTCGAGGGGTTGTCTAACTTGGTGTTATGATGTGTTTGACCCTACATTAATTTTACGCCCGATTATCCCTTTTATGAATAATACCAATAATACCGTCTCAGACCAACGTACCTTCCACTATCCCAGTGCTGGCCATTTTCCCTCCTAATTCTGTGAGGGAGGAATCCTGCAGAGATGACTCTTTTGAACTCTC